TTCACCAATTTCATTAAGTCAACTATGGCACTCTAACTTTTGCAATTTATCCAGATGTGTCATACATGAATTTTATTAATTCTACTATGGCACCCTATGGTGTTGCAATTTAGCCCTTTTTTATTAGCAAAATACAAAAGGTATCTTAATAAGTTATGTATACATATTTTATAATTTTTCCAAGCTTAGGTAAAAATTTGTTATAAATGAAAAAAATTCATATATTCCCTATTTATCATGATGACAACATGGTGAAAAATTAATAATTAGGATAATCTGAAGATAGAGATAGTTACTAGTAGAATTTAACAATAAAACTGAATAACAAATTAAGTCTAATACTAACATTTGCATATCAAAAGATTGTTATTAATTATAATAGTCACATTTATCATTTATGAACTGGTACTTATACCAAATAGATTTAGCATTTCGTACATGTATTCGCAAACTATTTTGATTGTTCGATCAATTAATTCGATTGTCAGGTGTGTATGTGTGTGTGTGCCTCTCTCTCTCTCTGTGTATATATATACATATATGTGTATATATATGTATGTATGTATGTATGTACGTACGTACCTAAAAATTATATAAGAATAAAAATATATGTATATATGGTCATAGACAAATTTCTTTAATTCTACTATGACACCCTAAAACTTTTAATTTAGCCTCTACATTCTTTCTATTAGAATAACATTGAAGACATCTCAATAACTTATGTCCAGATATTTCATGTTTTCCTAAAACTTAAGTAATAATTATATCTAAATCTCAAAAATGTCATAAAGTCTTCATTTTATCCTATAGCAAGCGTCTAGATATATTATTAATAAGCATGATTAATTGAATAAGGAGTTGGCAACAACTTGAAGAACTTCATACAAAGTTAAGTCTAGTAATCACATGTACACGAGTAGAAAACAATATAAAGTGTAATGTTTACATGTTTAGTAGTTTTATGGAGAAGTATTTGGAGCAATTAAAATTGGTGTTTCTTACATGTTATGGCAAATAGTGTTAATAAATCTAACTAAACCTTCAGAGTAGTCTTGTCAAACTACAATATATATATATATATATATATATCTTAATGGTTAATAACTCTTGTCATATATGATAAAAACGTTGCATGCTGTACAGATCATGACAAAATAAATTGAACTTTAGATAAATTAACAACTTCAAGTTTATTGAGATATTACCTGGTATCCTTACTGAGCCTTTGTTTGGAAGGAAAACTTTTTTTATTAGATAGCCCATTTTTTGAAATTTTTGTTCAATCACCAACATATATTTGTAATTAATTTTTTAATTTTTTATTATTTTTTATCTCATATATATCACATCACATCAAATAATGTGATATAGTATGAGTCTATACAAAATTCCGCATAACCTTCTGTTCAAACATACTCAATTTTGAAGGTCATCCCTTTGAGTGGTGGAAAAAAAATTAAAAAATTAAAAGAAGAAAAAGTTGTACACAAACACACACACACACAAACATATATGGAAAAGAAAAGAGCTTTGGTGTCGACAACCAATGAGGATCGATGAGTATTCAAGATCTACGATTGCAACTTTGTGCTCTGTTACAGAGAATCGGAATCAGTTACCCACTAGTTCTTCAAATTGAATTAGTCCTTCTGGACTTTGGCTCCTCAACCAAAACAGAAGGATATTCCTGATGGTTGATTGAAGGCCAAGCCTTTTCTTCTGTCTGCGCGCATTTAGATATTTGTGCGTAATAGCTTAGTTTACTTGGCTTTGTTGCATCTTTTTCCAATTCGATAGGAACTTCTCACCCATAGAGGTAACTTTCCTTTGCCTTTTAGATCCAGCACCTTACTCTATCGTAGTGCAACTAGCAGAAAACATTCCCACTAACTAAAAAATCCACCTGCTCAACAAGGTTCAAAACCTTTGACATACTGCACAAGGGGGCATTCATGATTCGTCAAAGCACCACATGAGGCGTTAAGTTACACTTAAATGGCTTCATGTCATCACTGCATCTAGATAATCAACAACACACACAAGGCATCCGAAACGAGCAATAGGTTAGGTACTTTCTTGTTACTTCTCTGTTTTATTTTGTTAAAATTTTTAAGTGTGCCTATTTCACTAGAAAGTCAAAATGAAGAATTGTTTAGTTAAGATTTTTTTTTCTACTTAAAGATGCCCACATGACTAGACTAAAGATTTGAAGCAGTTGAGACAGTAAACTTTGACTTTCTCATTGTTAGTAACATTGCCGATCTTGTAAGCTCTACTGCGGATCAATTTTGTCATTCAAATATACCTATATGTAGCTTATTTCTTGCTAATTTTGAAGTCTTTTAGTTATTAAGTTATTGTAGATTTACGTATTCTAATCGCTATAAAGTTTTGACAGTAGTAACTTTGAGATTTTGGGCAGAATTCAACTAAAACTGCATTTACACAAAAGAGGCAACCATGTATAATTAGCTTTCATTAATTTCTTGGCTGGTATGATACCAAAGATAAATACATTTGAGTCCCCTATTTTTAGATTTTTGTAAATTTTGCTGGAGATTTGACATTCAATCATTTGTTCATTTATTTTCAAGGACTGGAGACAATTTTGTGATGATAATGGTTGGAAAATACTGTAAAATAATTTTGAATGCTGAAAGTTTGTGTTCCTTTAATATGTTTAGTCTTGCTTTCATTAGTTGGCTGACTTAACCTTTTTTAGTTTCCTTTTTGGTGATAAAAGCAGAGAATTAGTTTCTTGTTTATTGAACAAAGGAGAAGGAATAAATAGGAATAAGCAGATTGGGGGTCTTGAAGGGTATAGAAGGAGAGAGTTGGTGATTGGGACTTAATAAATTAATAAATTCTTTTAAATTGTGTTAGGCAAAATTTAATGACTTGACCTAATGCTTATGCTGTCAAGTATAATAATGTTTCTCCTTGACACATTTGCCAATTTACAATCATAAAGAATGTGTTTGCTTATGCTTGTATGGAACAAATATGCTGTTTTGGTTCTAAAACAAAAACTACAAAGGTAAACATCAACAACAACATATGAAATTATACTTGGGTCTTGTTTCTGGGATTTCTATTTTAAAGAAGTTTTGCGAGTATTTTGATTAAGTCAAGTACTATAAAGACTATTAATGCAAACAAAATTGAATTATCCTGAACTTTATTTTTTGTTAGAGAAGCATCAAGTGGTATGACATAGGGGGAGGTACTTGTGAATGGGGAGAAGAGAAGCATGTTTTCTATTTGGAATTCTTTTCAATAAGCATGTATTTATAATGTTGGTGTCTGAAAAACATGACACTTTCCAGTTTACTATAAGAACTTATAACTTGCCTGAATGCAATGAGTTTGGGGTGCGGATTCAATAGAAAATTTACTAAGTTGGTGGGGTCATTTTCTTATTTATAGAAGCCACTCTTTAAGTTTAATTTGTCAATTATATCAAGTTAATTTTGGTTGACATAACCCTTAATAGTAGAATTGAAACAAACTTGACTTTATTGATCTCTAACGAGGTACTTTGTGTACATTTTATCTATATTCTAATTCGTATGTTTTGATTGAAACTCTTGTTTGATTGATTCTTTTACCTCTTATCATATTGACTTAACTGGATTTTTGTTCAGTATAACTATTCATTCAAATTCAAATTGACTTCACTGAATTTTTTTTTTAATAAAAAATTTTATTCAAAAGAGGGTTAACGTACATGAAAAGCGGCTAGCATTCCACCAGTAAGTCTAGGCCAAACGGACATAAGGCATCTGTACCCTATCTAGGCGGGCTAGGCCCCGTATATGGTCGCTAAGTGGGGAGGGAGGGAAACTCTGGCTGACACACGTCGAGCTTGCCAGGCATGCCAGTCCATCTGCAACTGCATTTGCTTCTCTGTAGACATGAGTGAAAATCACCTGGCGGTCCAGCACTAAGGATTGAATACATGAGATAGTATGCCATAATCTCCAAGGTACTCTTCCGTTGCCATTCACCATATTCAGCAATGCCTGAGAGTCCATTTCAACTTGTAGAGAGTGAAAGCTAGCGGAGCATTGCAGACCTTCCAGCAATGCCATGGCCTCCGCTTCCATATTGGTTCGTGATCCCAAAAATAACGAGAAGCCTACTAGAATGTTACCATCCGAGTCACGAAACACCCCTCCAGCTCCAGCGTGTCATGGATTCCCTAGGGATGAGCCATCAATATTTAGCTTGACGTACCCGATGGGCGGCTTTGTCCATGCAATCTAGCGTGGCTGCGCCAACTCCCTCCGCTTCATACAAAGGAATAGGCCCGAGCGAACCAACTCACAGTCACCCCGTGTTACCTGGACAAATGGGTGGACCTACGAGATGCCGAGCAACAAAGCTTGGATATTCCAGCAAATCTGTGTCGGTGTCAATACGACCCCCTCGTATATTGCCGTGTTCCTAGCCTTCCACAACCCCCAACATGTAAGTGACGGCAATACTCTACACACCGCCCCCCCGACAGTGCTTGGGGAGTGACCAAGCCACCACTGCTGCAAGCGACAGAGGATACCAGCTGGGCCTGCAACAGGTACCGATAGCGCCCTAGAGAAAAAATTCCATACCTCAGTAGCCAGGGTGCATTCTGAAAATACGTGATCTTGAGACTCCCCACCCAGACAGAACTGGCATTTGGAAGGAAGCTGGAAACCAAACCGCCGCAAGGCCTCAGGGAACGGCAGGTAGCAGTTAAGCAGCTTCCACATGAAGACGGCAATCTTGCAGGGGACGCGATCACTCCAAATACACTGCCTGGACCCAAGGCACGCCCTCTTAGGCTGCAGTGCACCCCATGCAGAGGAGACACTGAAATCACCAGAAGGGGTGAGGACCCAGGCCCGCCGAACTCTGCCATCCAAAACTATATCTTCGATGAACTGGTCCACCGTATCACGCACGGCCAGCATCCGACGCCAGACCCTGGACAGCCGAGTGTTGCTCCACTATCCGGACTATAGCGAGACCTCATAAAGGTCGCCCATAGTGAGGTCGGATTCTGGAACACTCCGCCACTGGTCGTCCGCCGCGTTCCTCCCCTCCTGGGCCTGGGAACCCACAGCCCTGACAACCTCACCTCCCGTCGGATAGCCCCTGTTCTCCCGCCTATGCTGCCGACAGTCCAGACTATAGTGTCCCTGGTGGTTGCAAGTCGAACAGTACGATGGTAGGTTCTCGTACGTTACCCGCTGCCAGAAGCCATGGACGCCTGCTCCATTCCAGATGCGAACCGGCAACCCCTTGAAAATATCAAGATCATTGCAGATACGGGCAACACTGGGTCGGGACAGACTTGCAGTCGCAGCATCAACTTGCAGGGGGCTGCCAATAGCAGTAGGGATGGAGAACAGCGATGCTTTATCAAAAAAATGAATGGGTAGATGTTCCAAAGCAACCCAGACAGGTGCATGTGTGGATTCACTGGTAACCTTAAAATCTGGCGACCATTTAAAAGTGCGCACGGGAAAGCCAGAGATGTTCCACAGTCCCTTTGTCCAACAATGCAGATAATCCTCTTCCAAACAAAATCTTATGAGGATATGCCGTTGATCCAGAAGACCAATGGTGAAAGTGGAAGCGAAACCTATCGTTGAGCAAGCCTTACGAATATTATCAAGGTTCGGCCTTCCGTGGGAGAACTTCCCCACAACCACGAATCTAAAGGCTGCGGCCAGCTTTGTAATGCCCTCCTCCGAGAACATGACGGCTGGTTCTCCTTTAAACTGAGCAGCAGGTTTGATCTTGCAAGGGGATGGCGCCGGCTGATGCTGAAGGACGGTAGCAAAGGAACGGCCATCCCTTTCTTCTGGCGGCTGGTGGCCAGCCATGGCCGAAAACCCTAACCTTCCCAAAATAGCAAAGCCGAGAGAAGAATCTAAACCCTAAACCCTTCTGGCGGCGCAAAGATTACTGGATTTTTGTTCAGTATGACTATTCATTCAAATTCAATAGTGTATGCTTATAATGGCATACTTTTTGAGTGAAATCAATTCTAATGCGTATGATACTTTTCTTTCAATGCAGTACAATGCTATTAAATGCTCATGAGGAGATGAGAAAGATTGGCTTTTGGATATGCTCATGAAGATGACTTCAGTTTGACACAAATTGCTGCTTTAGTCTATGTTTTTGTTTAGAAAGAGTACTCTATTTTTTTGGATGCATAATGGCTGTTACTACTTGAAGTAATGCGGACTTAATACTCTATTGTTTGGATGGATAATGGCTGTTAGTCCTTGAACTAATGTGGGCTTTGGAACCCATTTTGGTTGATGTGTGTTTTGATGAATTTAGAAATGTTTATAACCATATATATATTTGAGGGTTCATTGTACGTCAATTACTGTCATTTTTTGCAATAGTCGAGCTACAATTTTTTGCTATGGTTGTCGAAAATGCAACACAAGTAGGCTTTTTATGGCAAATTTCAGACATTTTAAACAAAGTTCAGTAACTACATCAGGGAAGGTTATCGCTAGCTACAAGTTCAACCAATGACAACAATTCTTGTCACTAACGAACAGGATTATAAGTGACATGTAAAAGTCATCATTATAGAGATGAAATTTGTGACGCTTTTACATTATCTATGATAAAAATACAGGTAAAGCAATGATAAGAAAATTCGTCACAAAATGGTTTTAGTTAGTGACGAGTTTTTCCTTGTCATAGAATAATATGATTTTGTGACGACTTGCTTGAAGTTGTCACATGAACCCATTTGTGACATAGAATCTATGACAATCATGTGACAATGGAAAAAGCTGTCACTGTCTCTTATAATGACAACTTTTTGGATTTCAATGACGATATTTGGTTGTCACAAAAGCCTGATTTTCTTGTAGTAATTTTTGCCCACTAAAGGAGATTAAAACACCCTCTTGATGATCATTGAAGTGAGGAAATTGTGAATTTTTAGTTTTGATGTATTTTGGTTTATCTTTCCTATATAATTGACAAGCTTTTAGTAAAACAAACTAACTTAGCCATTTTGATCCTTTCTTAGTAAAAGACCTTTAGGTTTTGTTGTCAAAAGTTCTTCATTCTTATTGTATCCTAGAAGTATATTGCTTTAACCCAGAAGCAAACTACTATGTGTAGTAGGCGCAATAAACACCTTAAGTATAGTGTTTATCAACTGCGATGACTTGAAAATTCACCTATATGTTTCTTATAATTCCCTCTTATTTTGAATAAGTTAATTTATAATTTCTTTACTACTAATTTACTCTCTCAATAGTGGTAATAAATCATAGAATCGAGAGTTTTATTTTTACATTTATAGTTAGAGCAAATTAGGGTTTTGTGCACTTTGGTCGTGTGATCACTTGGTGAGGTATGTGTACTAAATTTGGTGGATAAGAATGAGTATTAGATAATAGGAAGTGTGTTATTAGAAGTGTTATTAATAAGTTAGTGAATCATAAGTTAAAACACAAGTACGCGAGAGTTAAGGAAAATAGGCTTGAACCGACGTGCACCGTTTGTTACCAATTGAGTACACCATGTGAGAACCCTCACTTTAAAACACAATTTTTCTAAACTACATGCCTTGCCCTAAGATTTAAAGCACTTATAACATGTCCTGGCATTGCATTTTACATGCATTATAATATTTCCTTACATTGCACTTTATTACTCTTATTTGGATTGTAACATTTCCTTGAGTTGGTTTTATTTTATTTCACCACACACACTTTGACCAAGTGTCCTTTTATTACTAGTTGGGACTTTATATGATAGTATAGAGGTGTTAAATAGGTATTGGTATATTTGGAGGGTAGAAACTTCATTAGTCAAAAGATTAAGAGAAGAAAGAGCCAAGATTGGGCCAAGTGGCCAAACTTTAGCCATTCAACCTTTTGACCAAAGTAATTAGAGGAATTGTAAACCAAACATGGCTCCATTTTTCTTCATGTTGGCCGGCCACCTTGAAGCTTCCAAGAGAAGAGAGAAACTCCATTTTTCTTGCTTTCTAAACCTAGTTTGATCTTGAGAGAAAAATCAAAAGTGAAGGACTTGAGTTAGTGAGTGAACTACTTCCAACTCTAGTGTGTGATTTTCAAGCTTGAAGCTTTTGGTTTGGTGATTGTTTTGGGTGACTCAAGCTTCATACAAGAGAGGTACATGAACCTTAAATCTTAGTTTTCTTGTGTTATATGAAATGTTTGAAGTTTTGATGGCAAACTAGAAGTTGTTTGGATGTTGTTTGTGGTTAAAATTCTTGAACTAAACAAGTGGTAGTAGGGTTAGTTTGTTTGCCTACCATGTGTTTGATGAAATGTTTGAGCTTTGTTCATAGCTTTCCTTCATGTATTAACATGTTTTGGACCCTTTTTGAGTTAGAGATAACACTTGACATGTTGTTTAAGTGAAAAACAATGAAAAGATGATGGTTGGTGACATAAGTGAACTAGTGGACTGTTTTTCTTCCCCTTGGGTGACCGGTTTGGTAGAGGAGGTTTCTCATTGATTTTGTGGTTCATTTGCACCTTATTTAAGCCTAAGAAACTTGGCTAAACATTTGTTTAAGGTTTGGTGTGGGTTAATATAGAAATGGAGCAAGTAAAATGGTTGTTTGGACCACTAGTGGACTGTTTTGGTTCCTTTTGATAGCTAGACTGTTATGGTTCTTTTAATCATTTTTTTGTGTTGCATTTTGAGCTCCAATGGTACTAGATAACTTGCTCCCCTGTATATGAACTATAGGAGATTAAATTGGATGAATTTGAGCCAAAACAAGTGAAGTTAGCACCAAGAAATAGTGCAACTTTACTAGGGTTTTAGGGCTGATCAGGACTGGAAAATCAGCCAATTTGTCCGAGCTACTGGTATTGATAGGAGATGAACTAGAGTCTATATTTGACACCGTTGGAAAGCCCTTTGAGTCTGCTTTTCAACGCCGCTGACGGCACCTGATTCCGACTTTCATACAGTGAGATATGGCCATTTTCCCGAGACTGCACGGGCATGACTTTTTACCTGCGAAGAACACTTTGAGCTTGAATGAAACTTTTCTGTTGCCCAACTTTCTTGCACTTGTCAAACTTGTTTTCTCATGAAATTTGACTGCATTTTGGGCCTAACTTGCATGGTGAATTGATTCGATTTAACTACTCACTTGGTCACCTAATGAGCTCACATTTGGGTTGGAATTGAACCTAGTCTGTTAACAATTTCACTCGTTGCCCTAGGATTGGGAAACGGAGGTGAACGTAACCAAGGGACTTGATGTTTGAATACTACATTGCTTGACAGGTGAGTATTCCATTACCTGTTAACTGTCTATGTGAAATATCTGAATACTTGATTGGTGACTGGTTGAGCTAAACACTGTTTTCATAAAATTGAGGTGAGCGTGTACTTTATCGCACTCGACCTCTTTTGATTCCACTGAATCTTTGTATACTGATGCTGTGATATATGATTTCTCTATATGTATGTTGTTTGGGTGATATCCCATCAATTACTGCCACTGTTTGGGTACCTAATCTCATAGGTGAGTCGGTTGTATCGAGTCAGCAAGGATTTGATCGAGAAAGCCGATAAACCTTGACGACTGTTTACTGAAAACTGGAAACCGGTATACTCGAGTATTACCTACTTACTGTTTGAGGAGTTTGGACCCGGTAAGGGGGTTGACTGGTGGACGGAAATTGGAGAAAGTGGAGTTCTACGGACATTGTATTCTTTAAATGCAAACGTTGACTGAGAGTCAACGGATTCTTGTATGATCAACCTCAAGTGGATTTGGCTTTTGGAACCCACTCGTATCCTTGAATTGAACTGTGATTAAATTTTTGTAGTACAATATTGTGTTTACTTGTTTACCTCACATCTTTATTTGGCTATGTGCTTATCTGTTTACTTGGAATCTCACTGAATTTTAGCTCACCCCACTCCCTTTGTTTTCCTTAACAGATCTGGGTTGGACTTTTGACCAAGGACTTTCATAGCTTTATCTTTTATTTTGAACTTGTACTTCGAATTGTAATCTTTTGTTTAGAAGACCTTACTTTTGACTATTGTAAGTTTGAATTCGTAAGTTTGACGCATGTATGTAAATTAAGTGTGGAGTGGTAAGTTTGACATTTAGCTCTGTATTCTAGGTTTGGGAAGTTGGCGTGGCGATTATATTTCAATTAGGGTTTGCACTCTTTGTTTGGAAGATATTTTATCAGTTTTCTTGAGTTTCTAGTTTTTTGATTGACCAAGCCCGGCGAGAGCTGGACAAGCAGTCCGCTAATACCCTAAGGTTAACTCTAGGGAGAGGTGGGGCTGTCACAGGTGGTATCAGAGCCTAGGTTTGAATTGGTCTGGACGTGTTAGAAATTTTTGACTTGAGGATTATATTTGATTATTTTGCCTTAAGAATACTTAAGTTTTATCTATACTTTGTGTAGGATGAGCGGACATAGTGGCACTAGTGATAGTCCAGTTGGTGAGCCACCCCGTGGAGTACTCCGATGATTAAGTACCAGATTAGGCCCGGAGGGGCTACCATACATTGGAGTCCAGCCAATCATTTTCGGCGTTGCGAGTGCCGCCATACTTATGCCTATTCCAATACCGTAGTTTTGGCCATGGTAAAGGAGAGAGAGGCCCTAGCGAAGGACAATGCCAGGCTTGAAACTGAGGTGAATCAGTTAAAGGAAACTATTAAAATGCAAGTTGAGCGAATCAAGGAACTTGAGTATGATGTGGTTGAGCGCCAGGAAAGGGTTGATGATCTTTGTGCACAGCTGGGGAAAGCTTAGGAGAGCATGGTTACGAGAGCTATGAAAGTGAGGACTAGAGCCGAGTCGATCCTGAACATTTGTTATGACCT